TAACTTTAAAGCGTTTAATAGCTTCTTATATAAATATTTAAGGTTATTATTATAATATTATTATTATATAATAAAGCAAAAAAAATGGCACCCTCATCCTCATTAAGAACTACCATCGCTCCCCGGCGCGTGGTGATGAAATCCGACAAGTTACCCGTATCCCTTCGATTGCGCATCTGGGCCAGCCAGTACCTCTACCCTGGCAGGAATCGAGGAGGGATGGGGAATGTTGTCCGCCTACCATTCAAAAAGGTTATTAAGCTTAAAGCCTCCCGGAACGAGATAGAAGCAATGGAGTATGTTCGCACTAATACGTCGGTGCCTATCCCGAAGGTGTACGAGGTATACGAGCGGCCTGATGGCGCTGTCAACATTGTCATGGAAGAACTTCCAGGCAATGGTACCGACTACACGAACATGAGCCCAGAGCAGGTCCGGGCATTTGGCGATGAGCTTGCTGGTTATCTTCATCAGTTACGGAGCCTCAAACCACCCGAGGAGGGCTTCATCAGGTCGGTAGATCGAAAATCGTTAATGGACCATCGGGCTGGCCATCTTCGCTTCGGGCCCTTCCACAATGTGGACGACTTTCATTCATACCTGCGCCTTGGTGGGCCTCTTGACAAATGGATGTACGATTCAGTGGTCAAGACAGTTCACGGAAGGTCAGGCGCGTACCGCGTCAAGTTCACTCATGCTGATCTCAATCCGACCAACATCCAATACCACAATGGGAGGATCATGGGCATCATCGACTGGGAAACTGCAGGCTGGTACCCCGAGTACTGGGAGTACACCAAGATGTGGTTCGCCTATCGTCCCCCGTATAAACCCTTCTTTGAGGCCGTCGAGGGCAACCCGAACATTGATAAGTATCCCGAGGAGCTCAAAGCCGAGCGGGATATATGGCGGCGCATTAGCCCATGGGCCTATGACGACTTCTACGAACAGCCAAAAAACCTTGCCGCATTCTATGAATCCATAAATGCCGGGCAAAGTCAGGATGGGGACAACACAACTGGTGATGGTGCGAGGTGATCCTGTGTTCGGACTAGCTTCCGGGCTACTGGCGAAACGACCTGGCAAGTGATTGCTGTAATATTCTGAGCAGACCTCAAGTTTAGTGACACAAGTGACGAGAGCCATGATCTCTCTATTCTCCTGGTGTCGAGGGCCTCAACGCATCCCGGAAGGGGTCCGCCCGTCACCGGGCGTCGCATTCCTCAGCCCTTCGGGTTCGTCCATGTCTTCAGCATCTAGTGAAGGGACTAGCCATGCCGAGGAGATGACACACTTCAAGGCCCTCTGCAAAAGTCCACCTAAAATGCGCCTATTGCTGCAAATAGCACAGGCTTGTTGGGTGTCTGGGCTATTCCCTGTTGTTGATGAAGTGAGGACCTAGGGCTGGCGAGTAGATGGTGCGAAGACAAGGGGAGTGCCCCAAAGACCCGACGTTCTCACAGGTAGCTACATGACATTTCATACCAAGTTTGTTTCCGGCGCCTCCTCTTATTTCTAGACCACCGCTCCTCTGTGTCCGGCGTCGTACCTGGACAATTGGGACTGGCAGCAGCGCGCGAAGCCACGAGACGGACGCCCCTAAAAGCCCAGCGCGGCTTGTGCGTGAGGTAAACATTTCATCCATAAGTCCCTGTTCTCGTGCTCCGAAAACGTGAACTCTCGATCCAGCTGCTGGATCACAGGCGATTACACACATCTCTTCGATTCTTCGTCCTCTAGTCAGTTTCTCATCTCTAGCCAATCAAATCGGCGCATATCGATCGATCCAATCTTGTACCTCCTGCTGGGTAACAAACACATGCTCTCCGATTGCGCCAGTCGCCTCGTCCATCTCTCACCCACTTTCTGCTGGTGGCAGCAAGGATACTGCGCGAAAAGTGGTATATCCCGTGAGATATGGTCAAAAGAGATTAGCCAAGTCGAGAAACGGAGGCCAAGAAATAAAAAGGAGCGATTAAAACAACATACAGAAAATATGCTACAGACTATTCAAAACCAGACACCCCAGTTTCTGTCCCGACGCTTACCGAACATACTGCCTACTTGCTCGGTAGAGGCAACACACTCTCTGGTGAAATGGTCCAGTGACACCACACCCTGGGCCGTGTATAGACTATTATACAGTTCGCTATTGGCAAAGCTGCCTGTTTGTGACCGGAAGCGTTTTGACAGGTCTTCTTTCGGAGGCCTTATTGCAGTTAGTGTCGGTCTGACTGTTCGAAAGAGTCGGGCTTCTATTTAGAGACGTTGGGGGACGTTCCAATGAGATAAACATACGAAAAGTTCTAGCGTCACAAGATTGGACGCCTGCCGCCAGTATGAGGTATCTTGAGTTTTCTCATCGTTTGATTCGATGACTTGACGCACTTGGGCTGGGACACACTTGAATCACTATTTCCAGTCTTTTGTGCAGCGGCGAGGCTGCCTTGCAGGTTACAACGCTGCTTTGGAATCACGCATACGAGAGCCAGGCAGGTGAGTTACTCTGGATTAAATTGGGCTACAGATATCCGAGCAAGGACGAAACCAGCGAGTGCACGGAATGATGCAGACCAACTCGCCACCCACCAGGTGAGACAACCTTGCGGCGCCCAGCCAGCAAGTCATGTACTTTGCATTTTATCTCCGCCTCTTCACCTGACTCAAACTCACGAGCTTAGACAGGGACACTGCGCAGTGACTGAATTCTGTCGATACCAGTTCTCTGGCGGGTCGCCTGGACACTCCCCGACGGTCATTGCCAAACCAACGTCAGCACATTTCTCGTGCATGTACTCCGTATTATGGGACGTGCTACACCGAGGAGCACTTACGTACATTTACTCCGCTTTTCTGCAAGAAAGGGCGGTTAATTCCCGTGTCATGTACATTGTGCATCAAGATGTTAGATCCCGTGCTGAATACTGTCACATACTTTCAAAAATTGTCACATACCCCGAACCGGTATAAATAGAAAATTACTCTGGGCACATTGTTATCAAAGTGAAGAAGTAGCCGCCACGATGACCGTATGTACATCACAAATTCGTCGGCAACTACGTAGACATATTATACAACATCTCCGCCCCTAATTCACTCGTAATTAATATCGGCATTCGCCACGATAGCGTTGCTACAAAACTCATAGAGATACACTCCAATCTTCTTCGCCCCTCTCGCCATTGAAATTCCCAGAGATTGGCTGTTTGAGCATTCGCAGCGTCGCGAGGATCAAAGTCAATGTGCAACACAACTCAAAAACCCCAAATTAATCAACAGGCTGGCTCGGGAAAAAACTAAACCCTGTTATATCGACACCGTCGGCAAGCCAAAGTCCGACACCGGCGGCATCGGAAAATATACGTAGGCAAGATCTCATTGCACTCGTCGCAGGTGTATTGGCCACGAAGAGTGGTCCAGCGTCGATGGTTGCACTCATGATTTTGTCGTAAATCATGACGGACTACTTCAACCAAATGACGGAGCAATTCCGGAATATTCTCAGCATGGCGGTTTTCTCTGTTGACAATTCCCACTGCTCTCGCGTATGAATTCGCCTCATCCCACTGAGGGCAACCGCATGCCTTCCATTTGACGCCGCAAACATAGCAGAACTCAGCTTTGCAATGACATGCTTTTACGCATTAGCTTCCGTACTAAGACGAGGAAGTTGTGCCTGAAGCAACTTACTGATGTGATAGCATCCCTGGTGAAGTTCCACCATTCTACTGCACGAAAAGCATCTCTGCCATCCATTCTCCTGGGCCAAACGCACAATTTCTTGCGTAGAAATATCGTCCAGACAGTCTTCCAATTCATGGCCAGCGCCTTTGCACAAAGTACACGTCTTCTTGCCGCACTCTCCACAAGTGACAGCTTGTCCAGATGAAAGCTCCGGTGGGATAAACGCAGAGCAAGTCAGATCGTGACAATAAGTTCGGTTAGGGGTACCAAATTCAACCTTCTTCTCGTTGAATGTCCTGATTTGGCAGCTGGTGAGAAACGGCGCCATGATGTCTAGCGAGATCTCCATTCCGCAACAGCGTGGCGGGAAGAGCGATTCGTCTACCACCGCCAGTCCTAACAGAGTCACCATACATTGTCCGCAATAGTCGTGCCCGCATGGGCACTTGAACACAGATCCGCGTTCTTGCAGTCCACAACTGACGCATTCGGGGACAGGTCCTCTCTTGGTATCAACTCGAGGATGTGTCAATATCATGCCGGCTTTTCAGGGGGGACAGTCAATGTCTGTTGACGGCGAATGTCCTTACAATTAGTTTCGAGTTCTTGTTGTGGAGTCTCAGACTTAATTGCAACTTCTGCCTGGCCCGTAGGCATCACAGCTGCCAGCTTCCAGTCTCCTGCAGGTCCGGAACAGGAGGCGAGAAGAGACTGCTCAAGCTCCCGCTTGTACTGTTCTACGACTGCAACAAATTCATTTTCCGTTGTGGTAAGATCTTTGCCATTAGCACTGGATGATATCTCTGCTATATCCTCCAATTGCAGCTGGACCACAGGACGAAAGCTCTCTTCATCGAGGTCAGACAGGCCCATCGTGGGTCGCAGGCGGAAGGCGGGGATTGAGAACAGTCTGGAACAGACGATTTGGGCTGTTTCTTAGTTAACAATGGGCAATCGCATGCGCCTGGAGACTTGGGCAGGCTAGAACAATGAGACAATAAGATTGAGCGGGCTGCAAGTTCCAGGGGGAAAGTTCTGGGAATTGAGCAAGTTCGCAGCAAGTGTCAAGCCTCCCAAGGCAATCCAGCAACTGATGTCACAGCTGTTTCCAGTCAATGAACCCCGAGAAGGAGCGCCTCAGATTTTGGTCAACCACCAGCACCAACCCCGAGCACCGTTCGGTCCAAGCTCACGATGGACTTGGCTTGTTCACACGTCGTTCGCGCACAAGTACACTACTCCACCGACGTGTGACAACGGAGTTTTACTCTCGAGCTATAGTTTCACTGTCCACGAGTTCATCGTATGGGTATCATTTACAAGTCATCCGCCTTCTTCGCCTTTCTCACCACAGTCTTATGCCTCTTGTCATGATATTTCACATCATCCGGGTACAACGGGTTCCAAACAGTATTACACACCTTGCACTCTGCAAACGCCGCCTTGGACGAGATATTCAGTGTTGTTTGCACTGTCGGTGAACGCCTCGATCTCGTCCCAGCACCAGGCTTGATGTCCGATGAAGTGCTATCCCTCCGTCCCTGGCTCAATAAACTGCCCCCTCTATCATACAATGTTTTCCTTTTCCCATCTGGCGATGAGGCATTACTATCTGTTTCGTCTCTGCCCGAGAGACTCACAGCGTCTTCGGATGCGTCTGATGGCAGTGAGGTCGCTCTGATTCTTAGCAGTCGAGGCTTCCTTCGCCTTCGCACCACCTGCGAAAGCACCGGCTCTGAGTTTTTATGCACGTCATCCTTCTTCTCCATACGTTCTAACTTTATGCTGGTCGGTACAGGCTTGAAATATTGTAAGATGGACGACCGCGTTGCTGCTTCAGTGCTAGGTGGTGGCTGTGACTCGTTTTCGAATTTCAAGCTTGAATCTGACGGCTCTTTCTGGGACGGCAGATATTTACCGGCTAGTAGTTTCCTCCCAATATCTCTGTGGGCTTCAGGCTCTATTCGCACCCTTTTTGCAGGTGGTTCACCTCGTGGTTCTGGCGTTGAAGCAGACTTCCGTCCATAGGTTCGGAGCGGCTTGTCGCGCTTCCTTGACAAATAATGGGGCATCCCCGGTTTCGTTCTGCGAAAATCATGAGCAACTGCTCCAATGGCCCATGAAGGACAAGGAATACTTACATGGCATACTCCGGTGAAGAATTGATCATCATGATGTCGTCGTCGCCAGTGGTGTCCCTCGCCAAGCTATGCGTGCATAGAGGAAATCGAGTGAAACCATGAAAGAATTGACTTGCAAAAATAGATATTCTCAAAAAATAATGGCTGGTTTCAGCATTTCATTTGAGAGAGATGATACCAAAAGATGATCGCGAAAAGAGTTGAGCTGTGTCAAGTCGTAAATGGTGGTTGAATAACTGGCCCCACGCAACTTCTGGGAGACGCGACACGCGACGCGATGAGCGACGCAGAACCACTATACGCGACGTCACATGCACTTTGTTGTCTGGACAGGCAAAGCTGTGGATCTCGCCTGTAGGCTATCCTTGCTCCATCGAATTTTTTGCTTAGCGATCCTGCTCCGCCGAAATGCATGCAGCAGCTGGTTGGCATCGGTTAGGCCTCTATATTATATTCGAATCTCACTGCTTTAATTTGAAAGTGCCGTGATCCTCTTCCTCACGGTGCCATCCGTCTCATCCTCTTTTTGCCGCAACAGCACCGTGTCGTCATTCTTCTCATCACCCTGGCCTTGCTCGCCCACCACCCATGTATTGACAATTTGCTTGACTTCCTTGGCAGCTTTCTGCTTGTGCTTCGCTTGATCCATCCTCCACATATAGCTCGAGTAGACTGCCACCTCCGCGATAGCCACGACTATACTTCCGCCCATGGTGAGAAATATCCTAGCTGGCAAGCTCCACCACCGCGATATCACCCACAGCGTCCCAGCTACTCCCAGGATACTAACGAGAAAGTTTATGATAAGCATGACTTGGCGATGGACATCGTTAAGCGTTACATCATCATCACCCAGATCCGAAGCGTCCATCGGGCGATTCACTTGAGAGAAAGCTTGTGCGGATGTCGGGAATCGATCGTTGAACGTTTCGATTTTCGGAGGGGGGTTCACCATGCGCTCGTAGGCTCGCTGTGCTTCCTGGCGCCGTAGTCGGGCCATAAGAGCTTTGTATTCTTCGGTCTATGTCATCTCAGCACGTTAGTGACTCATGGAAATGCATTCAGGCTGGATGGAAGGACCAACCGGTTCTGGTTTTGGTGGTGGTGGTGGAATGTAAACCTGCGAGCCACGCAACAGTCCCTCCAAGCTATAGCTCGTATTGTGGTGGGCTCCAAGCTTCTTCCAGATGTCAACAACCTGGTGGTGAGAGATGGGTTTGCCAACTGAAGGCTGATTTAGTGACGGTTCACTGTCCGCTTGTTGATGCCGATCGAGGGCGTCATCGCCAGTTGTACTTTGATGCATATCTTCGGCAGACAGCAATCCCTCCAGTTGCGCCAGTCCATCCACAATGGACGCCGTCATTGTAAGAAGCACCATCTTGAAAGCCCGGTGTAACAGGTGACATGGAGCTTTGGTTCGTAACAGCGTCCTGTTACGAGTACACAGATGAAAGGTTGCGGCGATGTGCGTGAGCCGCGATATGCCAGCGATAGTGGCTTGGGATGTGACGTCGCACGAAGCATTGGCCCATTGGAGGCCAATGTAAGGAATTACAGACGACCAGTTCGCTGAATCAGTTCGCTTGAGCATTCGGATCCAGCTTTTGCCAAAGAGCGACCAATGGGAGCCCCCCAGTCATTAGCGACGGTAGAGGCTCCGAGGCTCTTGGGCAGGCTCGGGTGGACTCCGAACTGACCCGTCAGAGCCGCTTTGGGACAGTAGCGCAGCAGCAAAAGTTTCGACTTGGTCACCAAGAGCTCGCCCCCGATCCATCATGCCGCCCAATTGATGTCCCTCTTGTTCTTCATCGCGTCCTAAATCGACCCGGCGCCATATCAATTTCATCGGATACGTTCGAGCATCCTGCTTTTCCCCATCACAACGCCTCCGCTACTTACCATGCAGCTCCGGCCGGGAGCCATGGTTTTTGGCCATGCTGTGGTTCGAAGGATCACGGCTCCGAGCTGCACACAGAGTCGATGTCCTACAGTCAGTCTCGATAGTTGGAGAATACACAGGTTGAGGATACACACAAGCCATAGACGAGATTCTGCATGGGCCGCGGCCGTGCAAGTTGCTTCCAACGTTGTTGGAAATGTCGTCAAAAAAGCAGCCAAGGACGGCATGACTATCGACCCATTGCGGACCGTCGCGAAGGAGATGCAGTTTCTCACCGGAAACATTCGTAAGCTACTTGGCTCAGGACACCCCTCCCTCGACCGGGTAGCCAAGTACTATACCCAAGCAGAGGGCAAGCATGTGCGCCCGCTCATTGTTCTGCTCATGAGCCGCGCGACATATCTTTGCCCCAAGAACCCACAGCCTGAAACGGTACATGGCGCAAGAGCCATTGACTCGTCGATATCTCCTGTCACGATTCTCGCCGATGTAAACCCATCAGCCATGCCGCTGACTTCGAACGAACCCGAAATGAAAGATGGAAAGCTAGATATTCTCCCCAGCCAGAGACGTTTGGCCGAAATCACCGAACTCATCCATACTGCATCTCTCCTCCACGACGATGTTATTGACCATTCAGTGTCAAGGCGTGGCTCCCCGTCAGCCAATTTGGAGTTTGGCAACAAGATGGCAGTTCTAGCTGGCGACTTTCTTCTCGGACGCGCTTCAGTTGCTCTCGCCAGATTAAGGCACGTCGAAGTTGTGGAGCTATTGGCTACGGTAATTGCCAATCTCGTCGAGGGAGAGTTTATGCAGCTGAAGAACACGGAACGGGATGAGAGAAGCCCCAAATATTCCGAGGAGACCTTGAGCTATTATTTGCAAAAGACATATCTCAAGACAGCCAGTTTAATTTCCAAGTCATGCCGCGCGGCTGCCTTGCTTGGTAATGCAGACGCCACCACAGTTGACGCAGCCTATTCGTACGGCCGAAACCTGGGTCTTGCGTTCCAGCTTGTCGACGACATGCTCGACTATACTCGAAGTGGGAAGGATCTAGGGAAGCCTGCGGGCGCAGATCTGGAGCTGGGCTTGGCAACGGCACCGTTGTTATTTGCGTGGAAGCAGAACCCAGAACTCGGTGCTTTGGTTGGTCGCAAGTTTGAGCGGGAGGGTGACGTGGAGAAGGTAAAACAGCATGAACACCTGCATGGTCTCTTTCCTGAGATGATCTTGACTAACATATTCCATCCTAGGCCCGCGACCTAGTTTTGAAGAGCGACGGCATCGAGCAAACCAGAGCGCTGGCGCAGGACTACTCGGAGAAGGCCATCGCAGCAATTGCGGACTTCCCCGAGAGCGAAGCCAAAGACGGCCTTATTGAGATGGCGCAAAAAACAATTAAGCGACAAAAGTAAATACGCTGTGATACGTGTGATTGGTTATATGCAAAGGGATAGAAGAATAAGAATAAACCCTTTTGTTATGTAGGATTACTGTACTTGGTATGGGGGATATAAACTCACAGGTAACTTTGGGCTGCCGAGCACAGAGCTCAAGAAAAAAACATATGGCAGACAAGACATGAAGGGGATGTATGGAGATGGAGATTAAACAATGGGTTTATGTTCATGATCCGGATGCATATAGAAGCGGCAAGGCAAGAGGGCAGTACTATTCAATTTTGTTGTCTTGAACATGTTGGTGGGTAGGAATCGGCGAACAGGCATGAGTTGTCATAGACATATCCACTCTAATTCTTTGACGACCTAGAAACTTCACAGGCAGTCAAGTTCTGTTTAACAACTGATTCAGTCGCGTGGTTGCTGGATTTTATGTTCGTCGTGTCATGGTGAAGGCTACCAGCTGGGTAATTTTTTTGGACCGTTATGATGAGTATGCGCCAGCACAAAATAAAGACAAAACTTAAGAGAGCCACATGTTCTAAAAAATTGTCTTTTGCAATACTTATAATCGCGAAATTGTTTTTCATAAGCTTCCCTACTATAATCTTGGGATATAAATGCAGAATAGTGTTACCCTATACTAGGGACAGTCTCACGCATGACGATTAGGGATAAGACTTATGATCTTAGAATATGAGCAAGTTAGGTTAGAATAGTGAAACTAGTATCGTTAGATGAGTAGTGCAAGCTAATAATATCTTATGTGCATACTCCGTATAGTCTCTGTGATATAGTACGGTCAATACAATGGATTCAATGTTGGCTCAAAGTGCTGCACATGTGGTGGTGGCTTCTCCTCAAATGCCCTTCCCCGCACATTCAACAACCCGAATTGAGATAATACCCGCGCGCGTGACAATGATGACGTATATTGTTATACCAGCAGATAGATGAATGAATTCAATCTCCACTTTCACACAGATAATTAATGCTCGTGCTTGCACTTGCTTTTTACTCGTTGCACCTTTGACGGCCTGTACGACGATTCTATTATCGCACGCATCATGTCTGCACCTGTTAGTTCCTGTGACTCGACATGTAAAGAAGAAGCTAAAACGGGGAGATAAAGGAAGCTGGTGATATAATGTATTAAGCAGCTTAGAAAGAGAACATAATAATTATTAGCATCCTCTCTACCACGTACATGAATACGTGATTACTTGGAATCAGCTTGTAAGTAGTTTCAATGAAGGGTTAGGGTTACATGCTAGTTCTTGTCTCGATTCTTCGCATCAGGGTGGAGAGTTTATTTGCTTCCAGGATGAGTCCCCATAAAAGTTATTCACCATGGCACCCAGATATTTAGAGGAGTGGGGGTTACATTGTCGCTGTCCACTTGGAAAGGAAAACCCCTGAGGCACGTGACGGCTAGGGTAGCACTTATCGACCCGGACCGTGATAAACACCGGCCATGTCCGAGTTGCACGACATTTGAGGCTCTTCGCCCACCACTTGCCCCACCAGGGCTCGCGGAATCCATGGCAAAGAGCAAATGCGGTGCTTCACCATGAAATGAACAGAGCCAACTCAAGCCTTTGTTGTAGAAGACGCGCGGATAAAACCGGCTTGCAGGTATGAAGAACCTAGGTACTCATACATGAATTTATTCGCATTAAATATACTTGTGACACTGGATGAGAGAACTTACATTAAAACGCTGCAT